TTCAGTGGTATTACACATATTCGTAATTAGTGCAACTGTCAACACCGTCTCTTTCCACCTGGTAAAACTGGAGCTCTGTACTTGCAGATAATAACTTCCCATTCTCTTCTTTCTACCCACTGCAACCACCATTCTACTGTCTGTCTCTCTGATTCTGACCGCTCTAAGTAACGGACGTCTCAGTGCTGATTTTCCTTTGCGGCACTGAGCATCTGTTTCCAACAAGGTTTATGCATGCTGTAGCACACTGCAGGGTCTCCTTGTTCGTTACGGTGAGACAGTAACGTGTGCTGCACGCGCACACGACGTCAGCCGATGATCACCTCGGTGGTTTCCATGTTTTGGTTGTCGTCAATGACGCTGCTATGAACATGGCATACAAATCTCTCTTTGAGACTCAGAGTTCAACTGTGTTGGGTGTATACCTAGAAGGAGAATTGACGATGATATGGTAATTCTATTTTTAATTATTTGAGGAATTGCCACACAGTTTCCACAGTGTTTGTGCCCTTTTACACCCTCAGCAGTACACAAGGGTCTGGATTTCTCCACATCCTTGACAACACTTATAAATGGAAGTTAAATGATGAGAACACATAAACACAAAGAAGGGAACAGACACTGAGGCCTACTTAAGAGTGGAGGGTGGGAGGAGGGAGAGAATCAGCAAACATAACTAAGGGGTAGGAGGCTTAGTACCCGGGTGATGAAATACAACAAACCTGCACATGTACCCCTGCACCAAAAAGATTTTCAAAAATAAATAAAATACATGTTAAGTCCAAGAAGTCGGAGGCAATAAGGTCCACACTCCATGAACCTGATCATAGGAAATTCCAGAATACAGATGCTAATCTATAGGGACGGGGGCGGACCGGTGTCCCCTGGGGTTCAGGAGCGGTGGCGCGGATGATACAGGGGGCACCAGGGAACATCTTGGGGTAATAAAGGCGTTCTTCATGTCTTCACTGTGGTGGTGGTTGTTGGGTTTACACATTTGCCAAACACATCAAACACGAAGGGTGCCTTCAATGACCCCTAAATGATACCTCAATAAAGTTGATGGAAAGGTTAAAAAAAAATCCTACCTGGCTGTTTTGTAGAAATTAACATGCCGATTCTAAAATTTATATAAAAATAGGAAGGACCTAGTGTAGCCAAAAGATTCTCCAGAGTCACCTTTATGAATAAGGGCACAGCTGGAGGACCTATGCCACCACAACTCATGATTTTATACCTGTAGACACTGGCCTCAAGATAAACAACCCGCCATTGGGGACAAGGCCCGCTCTCACCGCTGACGTTCTGTGATGGAGCCGATGCAGTCCATGGGGAAAAGTCTTAAAAAATCAACAAATGAGGCTGGAGCAAGTGGAAAAAAATCTCTCTTGACCTCTAACTCACTCCATTTGCAAAAACGAACTTAAGATGAGTCATGCATGCACCTAAACATAAAATCCAAAACTATAATGCTCTTAAAAAGAGAGTATATTCCTAAGTTAAGAAGATATTTTCCTGTTTCCCCTCTCAAGCATTATGGCAAAGATACCTCAGGACAGACAAAGTACTAATTGGAAATGCAAAAAAAGGAACTTGGACTGGGTCAAAGTTGACTGGAGACACTCAGGTTCATGAAGACGTGAAACAGCTCTCACGTGACTGGCGTGGCCGACGATCCTGCCAGACGCAGGGACACAGGTGACTCCCCGCAGGAGTCAGCAAGTCCCTTTCTGGGAATTCACCCTCGACCGACAAAGACACTCACACAAGACCTGTGCTAGAATGGCCAACAGCCCCGCGCTGGAGACAACCCGAGCGTGCATGCGCAGGAGAATGGATAAATGCAACAGCCGCTGAGCAGGAGAAGCTAGGCCGGAAAAAGCAACCGACTGCACGGTTCCCATTACAGAAAGTCCCAGATCAGTCAAAACTAACGTGCAGTGAAGGAAATCAGATGGGTGACGCGTCTTGTGGGCAGGTCCAGACAGGGAAGACAGGACACTGGCTGCGGATGGAAATGGCCTGTCGTGGTACAGGGTGGGCCACAGGGCAAAGGCGTTTGTCAGAACGCACTGAGCTGTGTTTGTGCAATCCATGCATTTTGCCATATGCCAATTATGCCTCACAAAAAGCCTAATATTTATGCTGTTATTTCACACCAGACACCAAAGAAATTCCACCTGGATTCAAGAGCTAAAACTAAATACGAAGAACTAAGACAAGCACTGGAGCATATTTTTTTGTAATTTGGGGGTGCAGAAGTTCTTTCTAAACGTATTACACACTAAGAAGTCACAAGACAGATTTTTGCTACATAACAAATTTAAATTTAGTATAGGTATGAAACTACAATATATAAAGAGCTCTTAAAAAATCAGTAAGAAAAATGTAAGCAGCACAACAGAATTTTTGCACAAAGGCAGTTCATACAAGAGGAAAGGCCAGTCTGTAATAGGTATGAGGGATGCTCAATTTTATCAACAATCAAGCTGCAGAAGAACCCTGCAGTGAGTCACCCTCCAGACAATTAGAAAAGCAGGAAGTATGATGAGGCCTCAGTGAGGGCTGGGCAGATGGACATCCGTGAAGGCAGAACCGGCCCACGTCTTCTGTGTGACATTTCGGTAAGCGATCTCAAGAGGGACATTATGTGCCCTTTGACCCCTTCCCTAAGAAGGCAATTTCACAAACAGATAAAGATGAGGTTTGGGATTCTCCTTCCCAGCGTCGTGGTGCTTCGTGAAAGAAATATCATCCGTGCATCACAAAGGGTTCACCTGGCCCAGACACGCAGCGCATCTGATGCTCCTGCCAAAGCCGGGGGGTCTCCCCTTCCTGACAGGAGACGCGCTTGGCCCAAGTGAACACAGCAGGCCGCAGCTGCTGCCCGTGTCAGGTGGGGGCGAGAAGGGGGATTTCTGAAGCATTTCACTTTCCTCTTCCAGGTCTGGTGAGTTGAGTTTTTGGTAATAAACAGGTGTGAGCTCGCGTGTGGCTGGGCAGCCTCTGCTCACACCCCATTCATGTTTCGGTGGCTGCTCCTCTGTGTTGAGGGCCTTGGTCCACTCAGCCTCAGAAGACCCCAAGGGGGCATGCACAGCCGGGGACCCCAGGACCCCACTGAGCCGCCTCAGAACGCACTGACCCAGGAAGGCCCCAGCTCACACCAACAGGACCAGCGGAGCCTGGCCGGTGGCTGAGCCCTGTCCCCTGCCCTGGGGAAGCTTTGTCACCATGCGTCACGAGTTGGGGAAGGAGCTAAACAGGGGGCCCTGGGACCAGGTGAGGTGGGCTCTGCCCTGGGCACTCATTTTAAACAGCAGGAACTTGCTGTGACAGTACCCTGTTGTGGGGCCACCCTGGCGGGCCTTTGTGACACCCAAAATATTTGCTATTAGCTTGAGTCAACTGATACTTGTTTGTACACCCAGCACCTGACCCAGGGCATGAAGCAGAACAGGTGGACACTCAAGCCACCATTCTAGTCACCTGACAGCGACGGGCTGTCCCAGGGGAAGGGCCTGTACCGGGCTGCTCCCGGCAGGGCTGGTGGGGCCAGCAGAGCCTTGGGTTCAAGCTCCAGTCCCCCCTCAGTCACCTCCTGCCACTGCCTCTGGGATGAGGTGACCGGCCGGTCCCTACACCCTCCTGAGCCTGGGCTTGGCAAGAACCCACCCCACCCCACAGCCCCTCCTCAGACACTGAGGTGGAAGGCCGTAGGCCACCTGGGCCCCTGGAGGAACGAGGCCTCCCCTGCGGCCCCATGGAGAGGGGACGACGACGGCGACACCCATCCTCGGTCCTCCGGCCCAGTCATTCACGCCGTGGTGCAACGTCTGACACCGGGCACTTGCATCTCGGGCTGGTAGATAAGCATCTAAAATGCCTGAAGAATCCTGTGCATCAAACCTCCGCGCCTTCGAGGGCCACCGAGGTGACACCAACAGCCCTCCTGTGGTGAGTGCGGCCAGCGGCATGAGCAGCACGGCAGGCGGCAGGCTCTGGGTCTGGGGTCCCTGGAGAGCGGTGGGGGCTCTGGCTCTGCCTTCTCCGGCCTCCCTGTTCAAGGGCAGCTCTGCGTCTGCTGTGGGACTCACCTGGGGTGCCCCGTCGGCTTCCAGGACGATGCCAGAGCAGAGCACCTGGCGCTAGGCGCAGGGCATGCAGACACCAGACACACAACACGCCAGTGTGCTCACACTCACGGTTTTACACACGCACTCACAAACACGCCAGAGTGCTCTCTCACGTTTTTACACACGCACTCACACAGACACAAAACACACCAGTGTGCTCACACTCAGTTTTACACACGCACTCACACAAAACATGCCAGTGTGCTCACTCACGGTTTTACACACACACACACAGACCCAACACACCAGTGTGCTCACAGTTTTACACACACACTCACACAGACACAACACGCCAGTGTGCTCACACTCACGGTTTTACACACGCACTGACACGCCAGTGTGCTCTCTCACCTTTTTAAACACGCACACAGACACACATGCCAGTGTGCTCACACGCTCACCTTTTTACACATGCACTCACACACAACACGCCAGTGTGCTCACTCTCACCTTTTTACACATGCACTCAGACAAAACACACCAGTGTGCTCACACTCACGGTTTTACACATGTACTCACACACGCAAACACGCCAGTGTGCTCACACACGGTTTTACACACGCATTCACAGACAACACGCCAGTGCTCACACTCACGTTTTTACACACACAGACACAAAGCACGCCAGTGTGCTCAGTCTCACGGTTTTACACACGCACTCTCACACACACTCATTTGACACGTGCACACAGCTCCCCAACCTCTGCCCGGAATGTCCCCTCTTTGGGGACAAATCTGGGGTGAAAAGCTGAAATACATCCAGCTGTATTTCCTTGGATGGGGACAGAGAGCTGGGCCAGGTCCAGGGGGACCCCAAGTTCTGCAGAGACCAGCTGAAATATGGTATCATTAATAAAAACCCCATTTAAAGTACTTCTCTTTTTTTTTTTATTGATTTCATTGAAAACAGAACAAGAAATGGTCAGAGCCAAAAGACTGCTCTTAAAACTGTCAAAAACATTTTAACAGAAAAAAATAAACATGACTGCATTATGAATGTCTTAGAAGAGTTGCACAAAAAAACCCCACTGTTACTGCACTAATTACAGTATTTAAAAAGGTATATGCCAAAAAAAAGTATATGACCTGCCAGGCCACCACACAAAAGGTGATGGCAAGTTTATTAACACTACAAGACTAACATTTTTAAAAAAGTTTTTCCTGCATTTTATTCTAAAATCATTTTGTTCTCTTTATACAGTTGATAGTTTATTTCACGTGGTGAGTAGAAACCACACCAGAATCAGCACCGTTGTCTGTGTTTTTTTATTTTTTGTTTGCCCTAATGTTCAGTAATGGTAGAAAATAAATCAGTTTATTCATCATAGCATGTGGCTTAAAAAATCAACAGAAGATGCCAGCGCCCACGGAGCCGGCGGGGCCGGTGCGGGTCCGCCGCACCCAGCAAACCACTTCCTTAAAAAGAAACGCCAGTGAGAGGTCTGATATACAGGACTAGATATAGGATTCCTTTAAAAGCAAACCCACGTTTTCTCCAAAGTTAGTGGTGGGGTCGGTCTCCTGACCTCTCCGAGACTGGCGGGAGACTGTCCTCGGTGCGGCCCCAGGGACCCGGCACCAGCCACGCGGGCCGCGGGCGGGGAGAACGGAGCAGCGCCACTCAGAAGAGTCTGGGCCGGACAGGCGAACAGCGAGGACCTCGGAGGCCAGAGGAAGAAACGAGAAACTTCGCAACGACAAATCAGCATCAGAAACTCACAAGGAGATGCCAGCGTGGATTCCCAGCGTCTTTGGGGCGTGGGCCGAAGTGTGCACTCCAGCCCGGGCGAGGGGCCCGCAGCGAGGCCGCAGGTCGGGGCAGGTGGCTGGGAGGCGTCCACACCCGCCCGCAGGGGCTGCAGCCCCACCTCCGACCCCTCCAGGAAGCCGGCGGCACAGCCTCGAAGCAGGACCTTTGAGAATCTCTCCTCCTCCTCCTCTAAACGGCCCCCCTGGCCGGCGGCGCCTCATAGCGGGTCTGCGGCAGCCGCGGAGCTCGTGTCGGGCAGGCCGTCCTCCTGCGCCTCCTGGGCCGCGCTGGCCTGACGCTGGGCCAGAGCCGCGCTCGAGTGCCGGCACTTGGGGGAGCCGCAGCGGCAGCTGAAGAGCTTGCCCTTGATGTCCCAGAAGCGCTCTCCGTAGTCAAACCTGGGGAAAGAGCAGCCAGACTCAGGTCGAACCCAGCGGCACCTCCCACAAGCCGGGTGAATCCGGGCCGGGCCCCAGCTTCCTCCCCCGCGGCCTCAGTGTTTAAACTACAGGAAAGCTATTTGCGGCCAGGGGCCGGGGCGGTGCGTACCCCAGCTGCTCCCCGGCCTCGATCAGGCGGGTGCTGAAGAAGGCGATCCGGGGGAAGCGCAGGTCCTGGTGGGCCATGAACACGCGCACGGGCACCAGGTTGGGCTCGCAGTGGTGGTTGATGAACCGGCTGACGTTCCCGTAGAACCGCGCGTCGATGCAGTAAACCTCCCCGTCCTGCAGGGCGAGAGAAGCCGGCACGCGCCGCAGTGAGCGAGGCCCAGACATGCCGGTCCCAGAGCCTGGGGCTGGGCACAGGTACTGCCACGCAGGAGGGGCTTCTCCCGTGAGCTGCAGCCGCGGTGCGGGACCTGCACTGGCCGCCTCGTCGCCGCGTGGCCGCCCACCACACACCCTGCCCTCCTCGGCTGCGGTTCCCGTGCAGGGTCCCCACCGGGCTTCCAGCGTGGCCCGCCCGTGCCCACGGGGCCATTTGGCACCAACAGCAGAAGAGAAAGGAGGCCGGGGCCGCAGAAGCCGCGCGGGCAGTGGCTGGGCTGGCGGGCTCGGGAGGGACGGGGCTGGCGACCGGGACGCACTGTCCTGCTGACGAGGAGCCCTGAGGGTCTGGCACCGCGAAATCGACCTCTGCTGCACCCCTTCCCGGGCCGGTGAGACTGAGGCGTCCTCCTCACCTGCTGCTCTGGAGAGGAGCCCAGGATCCCGGGGGCCTCATGGCCCTTGCCCCTGGCACTGACCTGTGATTATGGAGTCTGAGTTGACCAGCTGGGCCTGATCTAGCCCCGCGACCTCTTTAAAAGCAGCTCTCTCTGGAGCCCCAGGGCGGAGCTGCTGCCGGCCTGGAGGGAGGGGCTGCGTGGCAGGAAGGTGGGGGTTCCGCCCGGCAGCTGGCAAAGAACATGGACGCTGCCCACGCGACCACAGGGACCCAGGCTCAGCAGTGCCCAACCCCTGCTGCGCACACTGGGGCGAGTGGGTGGCGTGGTTTGTTACCCAGCGATGGGAAACAGCAATGCCATAGGGGACGGCCAGGCAGACGGGCAAGGAGGCACCTGCAGCTTTCCAGGGCCGAGTTCCGAGAGCGCGGGGCCTGCGGGCAGAGGCGGTCCCACAACACGGGGTCCACAACCTGCCCCAGAACGAACATCAGAGGTCAAGGCATTAAAACCCCAACTAGTGGGTGAGGGCATGGAGGAGGGCAGATATCCGACAACCTTCACGACGCAGGCAGTGACAAGACGGCGAAGCCCAGGTGAGCACAGCTGCGGGACGGGACCAGCCACAGCCCCCAAAGCCAAAGGCGCGGCAGGCCGCCTCCCGGTCTACCCCAAAGACACAGCTCACAGTGGCTCACGTGGCATGGACTTTGCCCTCTGCTTTGGGGTCTGACGGACTAAGAATCTATAGGTGACCCCTCTCGGGGCAGAAAGCAACTCTGAAACTAGCAACAGCGCACACGCAAAGGTCCTGGAGAGCAGCAAGATGGAAACTGAGGGGCTCCCGCCCGGAGGGGCTAGGCCCAGCTCTGCCCGGGCTTTCACCAGGAGCGGCCCATCTAGCAGAGTGCACAGGGCTGCCCCGTGGGGAAGGACCTGCAGTGCTGCTGAGGCGGGTGCGTGTCAAAGTCTGTGTACAGAAATCTCTGCCTGACCACGACCCGATGAAGACAGCCACCCTGGTAGAGACCCACGACTGGAGCGAAGGCCCAGGGGCCACGCGGGAGGCGGGGTCTGTGGCGGGAACCCTGCCAATCGCACTAGGGAAACGAAACCCACAAGGGAGAGAAACCAGCGGCCTCCCTACATGTTAACAGGAACAACCCAAGCGACCTGAGGTCAGGAGTTCAAGACCAGCCTGACCAACATGGTGAAACCCCGTCTTAAAAAAAAAAAGAAAAAAAAAGAAAGAAACACTGAGGAAACGAACACAGAGTCCGGCCTTAGGATGAACGAGATGCTGGGCCAACAGACGTGTGTATTTTCAAGGCAGCTCCTAAGGCTGTCCTCAAGAACAACAAAGCAAGATTTCAAGGCATGAAAATCTCAGAGAAATGAGAAACCGGAGCAGAGAAACAGAAGAAGAATCCGACGGGAATTCTAAATCGACATCCACTGGCTGCTGAAGCCGTCACTGGGTGGAGGAACGGAACCTCAGCTTTGTCTAATGACAGTAACAGGTCAAACAAACTGACGTGTGCACAACATTATTTGAGATAAACAGCAAGGGCTGAAATCGATCCCCCAAAAGGAGAAAGATTTCCACGTAATGACAACATGGCGGCTCTGCCAATATCCTGGCAGGAGAGAGGTTAAGGGCTGGCCGGTATCCACACTCCACCACTTCTTGTGTAAGAAAAGAGAAGGAGTAAGAAGTCTACTTGAGTATTTTTTCTCTCTCTCTGCTGATGGTTACTGAGGGGCTACGGTTGCAATGTGTGTCCCCCCAAGACTCACAGGCTGAGACCCTCACCCCCAAGGTGATGGTGTTAGGAGGCGGGGCTTTGGGGAGACTACTAGGTCATGGGGGTAGAGGGAATTGTGCCCTCATGAAAGGGACCCCAGAGAGCGGCTGTGCCCCTTCGCCACATGAGGACACAGTGAGAAGTCACTGGCTAAGAACCAGGAAGCCCTTGGCAGCACCAGATCTGCCAGCGCCTTCATCTTGGGACTTCCAGGCTCCAGAGCAGTGAGATTTGTAAGCCTCACAGTTCACAGTGTTTTGCTATGGAGGCCCGAATGGACTCAGACAGCGGATAACAGAATACGGAGAATGTGGAGAAGCAAGGCTTTTCTCGGTATGAACTTCCTAAGCAGCAAAAAACCACAAAAATTAAACTGTAACATGCAAAATGAACTAAAATTCATGCAACTGCGTATTACACCAGTGACACAATCACACAAGAAATATTTCCAGTGCCGCGAAGCACAGGACTCTGTCCCGTGTCTGAGGAACATGCCCTAAGGACCGAGACGCTGCAGAGACGCAGACGCCGTTCCGCACGGTGCTGGCGCTTGCTGTTAACAGTGATATCTGGAGTGCTACTTTGAAACTAAAGATTTCAGAAACCAGGATTTTTGTTGTAAGAGATACAAACAGGAAATCAAAGAAGTTGGATAAAAACAGTATACTGTTAAATGCGAATTGGAAATATTAACACGAACACATATTTAAACATTTGCTTACTTCACAGCTCTGTCCTCTGAAAAGGGAATCTGGAGCCCATGGCACGCTGACAGCACTGGGCACCCCAGTCTCGTTTCAGTGTCTAAAAATCTTTCTCCTCCAAAAGTACAAGCACATCCTAGAGAAATGGCTTCCAAGCCTGGGCCCAGGGACGTAGAGAGGCCTGGGGTCCATGTGGTGCCAGACAGCACTGTCCCCCAAGGAGGGCTCGCCTGCACAGGCTCCCTACGACCAGAGGGGACAATCTGACCACTAAATAAGAATGGCTATAACTGATCAAAACACACATGTAAAAAATTTGGTTTTTACATGTAAAGAAATGTAAAACTCTATGAGCCCACATTAACACTCAAAAACAGAGGAAATTTTTAAAAAGGCCAAAATTTCTTTGCTGCCAGTAATTTTTATGCCACTTCCTTGCTCTGAAACTTGGTAACTAAATGGTAAGAATAAAGCATTGAACTTGCCTGCCCAGGTTTAGGTTTATTTATTAAAACAGAAAAATGTCTGTTAATGAATATGGACGGCATGGATGCCCAGGGCGGGCAGTCAAGACTCATCCCACCCCATGGCACAGCCATAAAGCTCCCTATGGAGCACAGCAGCTCCGGTGTGAGTGTCACCAAACCTCAGCCCTTCCTCCTAGCTGGCAGCAAACACAAGGGATAAGAGAAAAGGGAAATAACACTGTGAGGGGCACACAGAAATCTGGACCATGGGGTTCCTCCGGCTGTTGGCCACCATGTGGGCTGCTGTTAAAGAACCTTCTGGGATGTGGCAAGTATCATACAAGGAACACCCCCTGATTCCAGAGGGGCAACCCAGGGAGGGACACCGGGGAAAGCAGGAAGGTCTGTGGATGAACATCACGTGACGGCCAATCTTGTCAGGCATCACCATTCACAGGCACGCTGACATCACTGGGGGTAAAATGTCGTATTTGTCACCAACTTTGTATCAGCAAAATAGGATGAAACAAACAAAGCATGACACTAACGACCACCAAGTCCAGGAGGGGGCATAAGAGCCTCCACTCCCGATTCACTCTGCTTTCCGGTATGTCTGAGAATTTTCACAATGTGTGGTAAAAGAGGAATTGCAGAGACAAGAAAAAGGAATCTCTGAAGGAAGCGGCAGAGAAGTAAAACATTTTTCTTCTTCTTTTTAACCAAATAAGAGACCCGAATGTCTCTAAAATTAGGTAAGAGGCATCACAGGAGAGCCTGTGTGGAGAAGGTACCGCCACAGGTGAGCAGGTGCAGGTGGCAGGCAGGTTAGACAGTGGGAAGAAGGAAGGTGGCAGTGGGTGCCGGGCAGGAGCCCGAGTGGCAACGTCTGAGACCAGGGTGGGGGCCTTCCTGTGAGGCCTGGATGTCCCACCCTCTAAGATGGAGACAACGCCGGGCCTGTTGCGTGGAGTGGGACTCACTACGAGAGTTCGCTTCACCTCGCCAGACAAGAGGCAGTCTGGGAGGGCCAGGGCCCATCTGGGCTCTTCCCAGGATCCCTAGCAGGCTCTGCAAGCCCCCATGCAGCGGAAGGGAGGGGAGGTGCAGAGATGGCAGCTCTCAGAGGCCCTTCCATCAGGACCCTGGGCTGGCACTGCTCTGAGCCACCAAGGGCTCACTGCAGACGTGAGGCCCCAGGGCTGAGGCCATTCTGTTCCTGGTCTTCTCATTTTGTGGTTTTTCTGCCCAGAGCCACTGGCCTTAGAGATTCTCTAGTGCAGTTCGTTAAAAATAACCCTCCTCCCACCCTGAGAACCTTCCGGCTCTGCACTAAGCGTCACTCGGGCCCTGTGTGTGGGATCTGTGGCTGCCCGGGAGACATGGTACCTCCCCCACCCACATCCCCGCAGAAGCACACTCTGTGGTGTCTCAGGATGAGATGAGCACCTTCCTCAGTCTGACTCCCAGGAGCTTCCATGTGGCCCTAGAGGTCATGGGGTCTTGAGAGCCCCGTGCTCTGCTTGGCCTGACTGCCCAGACCTGAGGGGGCCCAGAGCCAGGGTCTAGCCTGTGGACGGCCAGGGC